GGTGCTGCTGGGCTCAGGCTTGAATCACAAGAGAGCAGATACCAGGTCTGTCTTGCTCACCAAGGAGCCCTAGTGCCTTGGAGAAATGCCTGGTGCACAGAAAGTGTTCAGTAAATCCTAGCTGAACGAAGGAAGAGGTGGACAGAACATGGCTCCACCTGATGTGTCTGAAGTGTCCTGCAGTGTTCAGAGGGTCGTAATTATGACCACATTTTTGAGTCTCTCTGCTGTACTGGGCAGCATGCTTGCTCGGGGCTTTCTTCACAAGCTCCTGAGTAAAGTGTTGTTATTACCCTATGCCGTCAAAGAGGCAGCTGGACTAAGGTGGCGTAGCAGGACTCCGTCCCATGACTGTATGACACTAAACCCTACCCTCTTAAACACTACCTTATCGTGCCTCTCCTGAGCATTGTGAGTATCCTAAGAGGCAAGTATAGTTATTTCTATTTTACAGAATAAGCTGAAGTCAGAGGTGGCATATATATGGTTCAGCTAAGCTTAGAATCTTAGACCCTTGACTCGTCTTCCATGGGCTGTAGACCATGTGGTCCAGCTTGGTCCCCATGATCTCTTTGGAAATATCTGTGACATTTTAGGGTGTTGTAGGAACACTGGCTATTTTGAGGAGTGGGTAATCCAACAAGATACAGTTAACAGACTCCTTTTTAGGAAGAAAATAGGGTCCTAGAATAGGATTGAAATTACTTAGGGGTTAGTGAAAACTGTTGAGCGAAGAAAGTTTTTACAGCTGTTCTGTCTGGTTTTAAATCTTTTTCAGTGTTCTTAGAGCTATTTTGTCTAGCATAACTTGGGATTCTTATGAGGCTCTATTCTTGAGTGGTCACACATACAAGATGTGATCTAGCTATATAATACCAATTTTCTGGCTCTTTGTAGGCTGCACGTGGCGGTAAACTTAACTAGTTGTAGTTAATGAAGGTAAAAATTAGGTTTCCTTGAACTGCCTCAGCTGGAAAGATAAATGTGCTCTTATTCTCTGGCTCTGACCTCCATGGTTCTGTCTTAGACTAAATCAGAGTACCCCCTCTGACCTCAGATGTCAGTAGTCAGTCAGCTAGAATGTATTTTCCAGACTTCTTCAGTCGGGGCTCTCCCATGTTGGAGGGTTGTCAGTCTGTAAGTCTAATTTGATTGTGGAATGATGACCCATCTCTTGTCGCTCCCTGTTCCAATCCGTCCCTCTCCGTGGGGAATTATCCCTAACTGAAAACAGCACGCGCTCCCCTGGGCTCCTGATACTCGGCTGCCGGGTGTTGGGTTCAGCGAGACGGAGGAGAGAGAGAGAGACCCAGGACAGGCGCCCTTTCAGCCGAGAAGCTTTATTCCAGCAGCATGGAGGAGAGACTGAGTCAGATCACGTCCCCGGAATAAAGGAAAGCAAGACGACTGTAAGACTTGGAGGGTTCTGGCAGAGCAGTGGGCAATTTCGAAGTCACTGGTTTGCAAGGTGCCGCAGCCCTTGAGGTCCTGTGACATCGGTCGGTGGGGGCACAGGCTTCTAAGCATTCTTTCCAGCCCAGCCCAATTGCCTCACGCTGGCCCTGAGGCCTAGTACCGAGGCCGCGGGGTGCAGCCTGGGCTCCCGCCCAAAGCGCGGGAGCTGCGCTAGATCGGCTGCCCGTGGCCTTCCAGCCCGGGTCGCAGAGACCAAGGATGAGGGGCGCCTGAGAGCAGGGCCCGGCGGCCGCCTGAGTGACGAGCCACTGACTGTCCGCGCTCGCCCACAACCCAGCGTCACGTGCTGAGGAGAGGCGGCTGCCGAGCCGCTCGCACCACGGCGGGTTCCAGCGGGTGTGGGGCTTCAGCCGGGGAAGGGCTTAGCGATTGGTTGACCTTTAACTGCGGAGGCGGGTTAGTCCAGTGGGGCTGGTCTTGATTGGCCGGCGTTTTGAAGCGCTGGAGTGAAGCGGTCTTTGGTTGGCTGGCCCTCGGGTGAGGAAGCTGTTGATTGGCGGACTGTACTCCCGTGAGGCAGCTGTTGATTGGCTGTCTAGCTGAAAGCGGGTGGTGTTGATTGGCTCATCTGTATGGATGGGAGGCGGTTCGAATCTGTTAGAATAGCGTTAAGACTCATTGCTGTGCCCAGGAACGGCCTGTCCTTTCAGAGGTGCGCGGGAACTGTTAGTTTTCGCCTGCGCTGGACTCACAGACTTCCTGGGTGGCATGTGCCTGTCAGACGACAGACCACACACGAGACCCCCGCCCACCCCGCCCCACACGTGGGTGTGGGACCGCAGGTTTGGGGTCGACAGACCTGGGCCCCAGTCCTGACTCCGTCGTTGGTCAAGCCGCTTAGCCTCTGCGGTCTTCAGTCCCCTCAAGACTGGCACCTCCCCGAAAGGTGGGTGTTTTTGAGAACAGACGCGTTGACGTGGGCCAGTGCCCCCCGGTCTCCCGCTTCACCTCCTGAGCCAGACGCCTCGGTCGCCAGGGACCCAGGGAAGCATCGAGTCCCTCTGACCCGCCTTTCCCTTCTGAGGCCTGTCAGAGTCCCTGCGCGAGCGGTGACAACTTGTGATGCGCAGACGTCACGCATAGAAGTTATGCTGTGGCTGGTTGTGGTAGGGCGGTAGGGCTCAGCCTCCGGTGCTTTTGTGTGTGTGTGTATGTGTGACCGGTAAGGGGATCGTAACCCTCGGCTTGGTGGTCACCCACACCACACTCAGCCAGTGAGCGCACAGGCCATCCCTATATAGGATCCGAACCCGCGGCCTCTGCGCTCCCAGCGCTGCACTCTCCCAAGTGAGCCACAGGGCTGGCCCCCTCCGGTGCTTTTTATAAGCGCCTGTGTGATGTTCACTGTGCGTTGAAAGGGACTGTGCCCAGCTAGCTCTTGACTTTGATTGGCTGGATCTTGAATGATCTTAAGTGATGGGCTGTTCATGTTAAAAACCGTTTGAAAATTGTGTGCTTAAGAAACAAACCTGATATTCAAATGGAGTATTCTGTGAGCCCCGTTCCTGTGACTGTGGTTGTTGCTCTTCTTGCTGTTATTAAAAAAAGAAAAACTGCCTGTATGACTTTAAAAAATCTAACGTGACATAAAGGTCAGGTTGGTGAGCTACGTGGTATGGACTTAAGATTTTCTGAGAGTAGATAAGAACACTGTCTCGAGTTTTGAAATGGCTTTATGTAAACTCCATCCTCTTGGATGTTGTGCACATTATGCATAAGGCTTACCAAGCATTTACTTCTTCCTAATAGGCTCATTATCCCTAAGTCTGGAAGTTAATTCTTGAAAGAGGAGAACATGTATTATTTATAAATTTCCGTAGAACCTAGTATGAAGTATCGTGTTATTTAAAAATGTTCGTGCTTGCATGGAGTTAGTGTGCGTAAGTCCCCTCTGAAGTCAGGTCTGTAAAATAATAACTCCCCTCATTAGGGGGGAAGTGGGTTTTGGTTAAGAGTCTTTTCCATCATTTCATTCTTTTTAGCTGGGGAGAAATGTCTAGTCAGTTGAAAGACTGAATATTAAACTTCTACTGAGGGCCGACCCGGTGGCGCACTGCTATAGTGCGCCGCTTGGGAAGCGCGGCGGCACTCCCACCGAGGGTTCGGATCCCACATACAGACCGGCCGCTCACTGGCTGAGCGAGGGGCGGGCGCAACACCGAGGGTTGCGATCCCGTGGCCGGTCCCGGTCCGGTATGGGCGCGACACTGAGGGTTGCGATCCGTTGCCGGTCACGAAAAAAGACAAAAAGGAAAAAAAAAAAAAAAAACTTCTACTGAAAGAGTACTGTCCCATCTAAGAAGTGTGCACTTGCTGAAATAGTTGGTAACTATGTTCATTTTAGTTATTCAGGTACACTTTTGCTATTTATTACTTCCAAAATTGATTTAACTAGTTATATGAGTATAATACTCATATACTATATTTGCTGTTGTTTTAATAAACTTTATTTTGCAATAATTTGATATTACATTCAGTTTTGATGTACACTGTATGGGTCTTGACAAATGTATGATGACATGTGTCCACCATTACAATATTAATCAGAGTAGTTTCGCTGCCCTAAAGATGCTCTGTGCTTCACCTTTTCATTTCTCCCTCCCTCCTTCCCCTGGCAACCACCGGTCTTATTACTCTCTCTACTGAAAGAATACTGTCCCATCTAAGAAGTGTGCACTTGCTGAAATAGTTGGTAACTATGTTCATTTTAGTTATTCAGGTACACTTTTGCTATTTATTACTTCCAAAATTGATTTAACTAGTTATATGAGTATAATACTCATATACTATATTTGCTGTTGTTTTAATAAACTTTATTTTGCAATAATTTGATATTACATTCAGTTTTGATGTACACTGTATGGGTCTTGACAAATGTATGATGACATGTGTCCACCATTACAATATTAATCAGAGTAGTTTCGCTGCCCTAAAGATGCTCTGTGCTTCACCTTTTCATTTCTCCCTCCCTCCTTCCCCTGGCAACCACCGGTCTTATTACTCTCTCCATAGATTTGCCTTTTTCAGAATGTCATTTAGCTGGATTTCACCAGTGTTTCCACTAATTTCCATTTTGTTTCATGATCCAGTCCAAGATACCACAGTGCATTTGTACTACATTAATTTTAATTTTAATTTATAGGAGTAGTTTCGGTGTGTTGTATTAAATATGTTCATGAAACTCAGCATATCCTAGGAAAATGGATGTAAACATACCAGCTGTAAGGAGCTGGTGTTACTTAATCAAATGTACACTTTTAATTATAACATTGTTATTTAGAATTTTTTGCAAGTTTGCTTTTGTTTGGGTTTTTAACATAGGATTTGTTTTATGAGGTTGTTGTGTCTAAACAAAATATTAAAGCTTGTTGAAAGAAAGTCGTTTTAAGGTTGAGCATTTCAAGACGCAGGAGAACACTGCAGAGTTGTAATAAAATCTGTGAATGCCTAATTTTTCAAGTTGGTACCAAGGATGGAGTGTTCAGGTGGTTCTCTAATGAGCATCTCCAATGTTTTGCTGGCAGAAGGACTCCATGAAAGATGACAGAAGAAGTTATTGTTATAGCCAAGTGGGACTACACTGCCCAGCAGGACCAGGAGCTGGACATCAAGAAGCATGAGCGCCTGTGGCTGCTGGATGACTCCAAGACGTGGTGGCGGGTGAGGAATGCGGCCAACAGGACGGGCTATGTGCCATCCAACTACGTGGAGCGGAAGAACAGCCTGAAGAAGGGCTCCCTCGTGAAGAACCTGAAGGACACACTGGGTGAGTGTCCACACCCTGGGACCCAGACAATAGCTAGGCCACCTCCTGCTGAGGAGAGAGGGAGCCTCTGCATTTCAAGGGGAAGTGGTTCATCTTTCTAGTTTGTTTGCTTTTTTTAAAAAAATGGTATTTTACATACTAACATCTTCCTAGTTGTCTTTTTGTAAACCTCTGAGAATTAAGAAACCAAGATGGAGGAATATGATGTTTGTCATTTCCTGGAGATTTCAGAGCTTGGAGTCTTATGTAAGGTGACAGTGCTGTGTGCTTTGTACCCCTGCACAGGTGTCTGTCTTCTTGCATCAGAATTCTAGAGGATCCTAAAATGGAATCTACCTCCAAAAGCATTCCCAGCTCCACCTGCATCATTCCATCAAAAATCCTGTCTGTCTGGCCTTTATGCATACTGAAGGAGACAGCAAAAGCATTTTTTTTCTCTCTTTGAGACTGATGACGTCACATTTACAGTCTCGGGCACTGTTAGCTCAGGTGGCAGCTGGGGCAAGCAGCTGTGTGACATCAGAGGCCTTCGGGAGTCACTCGGGGGAGACTGCTGGAGCTGAGCTCAGTCATCATGTTGTCTAGCTTCCTCCCTGTGCCTGTTTTCTTCCCTGGTGTCAGGACACAGCAAATGCCACCTCGAGTTAGGAGAGGTTAATGATATGCAGTCCTCCCTTCATGTGCGCATGGCACTTACTTGCAAGAGTTGCTGCTTTGGACTGTCTGAGGACATCATTGTGAGGGCTTTTCTGAAGGATGATCTGATCTGACATTTAACAATCGTTGTTACCTCCTTATATGAGTACACTGTCGTTTTTACCTGGGACTGTTGGTTACCACTTAAGGGTTTGCTATCAAAATGTCAGTATTATCACCTGTGCTACATTTACATAGGTCTTTTCTTTTTATTTCTAACAAGAGGATTTGACTTTTCAAGATTGCATAAAATCAAAGATGAAGATTTTGCAACACCACATTTAGCGTATAATTTTCTTTTCAGTTTTCCCATGCATTCCTCATCCCTCCGTTCCCGAAATGAAACAAATCTCTTTTTTTAAAATTACTTAATGCCTTTATTTATTGGGTGCTACTTTTGTGTTATGAAGTAGGTTATTCCCCTGTTTTTGAGAGAGAAATGAGACACAGGACTTTGTATGAGTCACACCAGGTCACTGGCCATCATAGATTCTGAGCATGATGTAGAAATTCCAGTTTTCATTAGCATTTCAGTTCTTTTTCCACTAAACTGTCTCCTCTTTATGTTATTTTTAAACTGCATGAGCATGTCACTTGAAAGAAACACTGTTGTTCTATGCTCGTAATACTTAATTAACTGTGGTAAAAAAATGAGGGTAGCCGAATAGGTAAATACATACTTTAAGATTGCCCTGAGCTTAATTTTATTTATTTTTTCCAACTTCAGCCTCTCACCAAAGTCCCTTCTTTTTAATGATGCTAAACATTGTTGACTTGTTTTGTCTTCTTTTTATGACCCTTTTTATATATTCTCGGGATTCCAGGAAAGCATGAAATGTCCAGAGATTCATGGGAGGTCGAGTAAGGAGAACAGGAACTCTGGGTTATCTGGAACTTCTCTCGAATAACTTGTCATTTTTCTTCAGTGTTTTTAGAAGGAGAAAAGACAAAGGCTCAGTTTGGAACTACGTACTGCATCTTTGCCCATGTGTTTAGAGTTTTCATGAACTGTGATCGGCTCACAGCTGTCGTGTGCCCTGGTGCTGGGATGAATCAGCCGCTCATCCCTGGGCCAGTGTGGGGCCCTACCTTGGCCCTGCCAGATACCCACCCAGCTCTGCTGGAACACTTTGACTTTGAGTTGGCCAATTCCATTTTTGGAGAACACGGATTGTTAGAAAGCTCTTCCTTAAATAGACTTCAGTTTTTGCATTTCTTTAAACTTCCTTCCCTTGGCTCTTATTTTGTTCTCTAAGTCTGCGCTGAGTGAATCTCCTCTTGTGGAATGACAGCTCTCCTTTTGGCTTCCATCTTAATTCTGGCTCACAGTTCTTTGGAAATATCTGTACAAAGCATTACATATTGTAAATATATAGATAAAATTATGTTTTGAACATCCATATTATTAGTAGCAGTGGATATTCATAGCCCAAAGGCCGTTGGGGTTCAGTATGCCCATCAGGGAGGAGTGTCCCATTTTTAGTATGTCTTTTTTGTTTTGGTGTGTTTGTCATGCTCACCTGAAGGCTTGATTGTGTTGGACAAAAAGGGACCTTGTTATATCAGCATGAGTTTTCTATTGTCCTACTGAGTAGGATGACACACGCCCCCTAACAGGAAATCACCATCTTTAGTGACTTTTTTTCTCCGTAGCCTAATTTACATGCAGAGCTTGTAGACATGGTGTCGTAGCTCCTTCTGCCTCCCACTAGTCTCTTTTGCTAAAAAGATTGGAGCCAAAGTGTTCATGGTTTCCTATTTAAATATCATTACCAGTGTGCCATCAGAATTATAGTATGATTTTAGACCAGTTGTGCAGCCAACAGAAATAATCTCTGTTGTGTGTTAGGAGTGAAAATAACATTGAAAACTATGTGTACATTGACTTTCTAATAACTACTCATTGTATTATCCACATTTCTCATTTTTACTGCTTTGGAATCCATCTCATTCTAAATTCCATGGTAAGATTTCCCTGGCAGATGCCTAGTTTGGAATAAATTGGCAGTGGACTCCTCAGCAAAGTCACAGTGTTACAAATGTGTGTTTACATCTCTGATTGCAGATCACTGTAACTCTACAGGGTTGTCTCCTGCCTTCTCACACTCGTTTGCTGTACTGAAGTTGGTAGTGACCCCAATTTTGTCTTATGTGGTACTTAGTAAGAGTAAGTGGAAGAAAGGAATGAGTACCTTTGACAGATCCCTCTCTTATGACAGTATTAACATTCTTTCCTCTAATAATTTTTTTTTTTTTTTTTGTCTTTTGTCTTTTTTCCGTGTCCGGCAACGGATCGCAACCCTCAGTGTCGCCCCCGTACCGGACCGGGGACCGGCAATGGGATTGCAACCCTTGGTGTTGTTCCCGCGCCTCGCTCAGCCAGTGAGCGGGAACCGGTCCGTATGTGGGATCCGAACCCTCGGGCGGGAGCGCCGCCGCGCTTCCCAAGCGGCGCACTATCCAGTGCGCCACCGGGCCGGCCCCCTCTAATAATTTTTAATTGAATAAAACAATGTGAGCTCTTATTGTCACCTGGGCAAAATATTTATGTACGTGGTCTCCTCTCATGTTCAACTTATGATCATGAAGACTCAAAGAGAACTTTTCCAGAGATGACAAGGAGCCATTGTCAAGAACTGTTTCTGCCGGCAGAATCTGGTTGATGTTGTGAAGGGCTTGGACTTCACAGTTCTGAGCTCAGCAGTCCTGGGCCAGTCTGGCCTTGGTACTGCAACCTGACTCATAAAACCCCGTGAGTAGGTGTTGTAAAAGCACTGTGCTAAATCTTTTGAGGTAGGGAAGCTGCTCCCAGGGAGGTATTTTTCAGAGATTTTTCCTTCAATCTACTGAAGAACAGTTTTTGTTACCACTTTGTAATACCAGCTGGAACCCACGAAAGCTCCAAAGGTTAATTCTCTTTTCTGTGGTTAACTCAGGTCCAAGTGCTGACTCACATTACCCAAAAAGTTAGAGTTCCTTTTATACCCTAATAGCATCTTCCCCAGCAGGGTTTGTTCAAAGACACACATGCCCTTTGCTGACCATCTCCCTGGGCATCTAGAGCCAGACAGTCTGCCCCAGAGAGTGCTCCTCCAGCGTTTGTCCTGGTGTGACCACACCTAAGGCCAGTTAGAAACTTGCCAGTGAATAGCACTAGAACCCCTACCTCTGTGATTCCAAACCAGACTTGGGAGCACAGAGGCTGCTGAGAGGTGCTCACCCATGTTAAGTATCTATAAGATAGTCTTTGCACTGGTTTGAGCTTTTGGATAGGGAGGGGATGGCTCCTATGGGTAAAATAGACAAGGTTCTTAGAGGCATATCTGTGTTAGGACTGACTTTGGAATTGAACTGATCAAAGACACAAAATAGTGCAAGTGGATGGTTTCATTATATAAAGTTCAGAAACTAATCCTTGCTAGTTAGAGTCAACCACCACAACAAAAAGCCAGAACTTTTAGAGTGCCTGGTGTAAAAATGCAAAGGCTTAGACCTTCAGGTTTAAAAGTTGCCTTTTCTGGGGAACAAGGAGAGGATGAACTGGACATCAATTCCTATTTTTCTAAGTACATAGTAGGATGATTGCTATGATGGAGTCTAGTTGGGGTGGAGGAGAGACAGCACCCACGGGGTAGGGGGACCTTATGGAAGGTAGTTTCCAAACTCAGACTGCAGGGTGGCTGGGAGACCTCCACTGGGGATCCCATTAGGGATGAAGAGAGGTGGGGGGCCAGGAGAAGAGTACACGCTGGTTCAGACAAGAGATGTGGAGGCTCGAAGTGGGGGTGGGGAGAGTAGAGGGGGGAACGGGTAGGATTGGCAGAGCCACAAAAGAGAGACAGGTGTGTAGATCAATGCCCCGCTGGCTTATACAGTGGGGTAACGTGACGTTTACCAGGATGCTTCCCTCTCTCACAACTTCAACTTGTGAGGCACACTGGAAGGTGATTTTTCTCTCCCCCTTTGCCAGGTTTCCATGCAGAGAAGCTGTGGATAGGGCCCCCAGGGCTCCATTGCTGCTCTGTGAAGGAGCGAGGGATTATGGATCCAGAAAGAAGGGACTTGAGGCAGGCGACTAAGGAGTGTCCAGCTTGGGTGGGAACCCTCCAGGCAGGCAGTGACGGTAGCAGTTTACATAGAAAACCAGGGACCATTTTTAAAATGAGTTCTCAGTGAAAGTGAAGGATATGTATCTCACTGTTAGGGAGAAGAGAGCAATTTGAATTGCATTTACTAGTTACTTTTTACACTTTTGTCAAGTGTGATTTTAGATTTTAAATGGACTAATAAATGAATTCCCCATT